TTGTCATAACAGCACGTCGCAGGATGCTAGGGGCTTATTTCATATTGAGAGCTCTACTACGGCACAACTCACGTAATGCAACTTCGTTTGCGTTTTTAAAACTATTAAAACTATTAAAACTACTGAAATAGTCTCCAGCTTTGGGAAACATATCTTCACAAGTGTTTGCTCGTTTTCGGATAAAGTAATTGTAGAATTCTATGATATGTCTTTTTATGATTTATTTTTATGTGCATTGATTACCACGCTCCAAAAGTTTACCAACTTGTGAAAGCCACAATAGATTTTTAAGTTAGTTTCACTTTCGCCTTGTGCACGGTATTTCCTTATGAAGTTAGTTAGATGGGCTAACTTAAAAAAGGCTTAAAAATCTGTGTCAAACCGAACTAGCACTTGTATAGAATTCAGGAAGTTCCATTCCGTTCTTTGGAATTTTTCTTTATCTGATGCAGGCTTCGGTCCTTAGCTTAAAAGCATTACAATTCATGGCGGACTTCGTTAAAAAACGAAGAAGACAATTATTGGGGATATCAGTTATCACAAGGACAGAAATATCAAACTCCATTGTGTTGGCACCATACTGTTAATTTTTTTAAACACTGACAAAGCTTTCGCGACGCTCGAAAATCAATATTTTGTACGTGAAAAACCATAGTACACCAAATGGCACTCACCCAGATTTTTCACTTTGCTTGATGCAGGTTCTGTCTTTGCGGNAAAAACACGCAGCCTTCACTTTCCCTCAACTTGTGATTCAATCGGTTGATTGAGAAAGCTAAAAAGGTCATAACCTCGGTAGTCTGGAATTCAGGCTGATAGTTTCTAAAGAAACTGTTTGGGGCTGCGTCGGTGGGGGTAACTAAATAATGTGGATTAACAAAGTTGAAATGATAAATTGGCCACCGTAACGATTACAAAAGCTTTTGTAATCGTTATGGTGGCCAATTTACCATTTCAACTTTGTTGATATATCCAAATTAGTCTGGAATTCAGACGAAAACATCTAAGTAAACATTTTAGGAACTAAAATATATTGTCGCTTGAATTTTGGCGTTTTAGTGTCGAAAGTCAATTTTTCATGCATTCTGAATAAATATTGAAATACGAAATTGCTGGCAGCTAAAAGCTTCAGCGTATGTCATTTCGAAAACATAACTTTTGCTCAGCAATTTTTAGTGGAATATCTTGATTGCGTCTTTAATGCTACTACGGTCTGCAACAGGTAAAAAAATTAATAACTTGGTAAGGAGACTGGAAAAAAAGTCGTAATACCATGTCTGTGAACAGACTATTGTAATTTCAGTGAAGTAAATTTCAACATTACTTGCTAGAAGAGCCGGTTGCTTCGGTAACCGAACATCTGTTTCACGCTGAATTCAAAGAAGACAGAAGAGAGAGAGAGACTTGCGCATTGATCAAAACTATTATCACCTAATTTTAAGGTTACTTCCCATATTTAGAGGCCGAAAAATTCGTTTTTTCTTTATTGGACCAAATTGAAGTTAGACATTTTACCTAACGTTTACAAAAAGAAAATTTTAAAATAAAAGTTAACAAAATCAGGAGGGTGTCATAATCTCGAAAGTAGGCGAACCCCCTGGGGGAATGTTCGCGGCAATTTCATGTTCAGTTGCATATTTTGTTTACATCGCGCACTTGACAAAATTCGCACGTGAAAGTTGTCTGCGACTAGAAAGTCTTTTCTAACGGATAAAAAACAGAAATCAAAATTAGAGACGAGTCCCTGGGCAAAGAAAAAGAAAGAAAACAGGCCTAAAGAGGAGAGAAATGACACCATTTTTTGTCAG